ATAGGCCTTAGATTCAAGGCCAGCCCCCAGCATGCAGACAGGGAAACTAAGGCCCAGAGAGTGCCAGAGACTTGAGGAGAGTCACAGCAAATCTGGGCCTCTCACACGGAGTTGAGTAACTCTGAGATGTAGGTGATGACCTTCTGAGCCCTCCCTCAGTACAAGGTGTGGGGTGGGTGGGGGTGGACACTGGGGAGAGGGGAATTGAGTCCGTGGCTGTCTTCCAGGCCAAGGAAGGGCCTGTGGCCCCGGCACATAGAGCGCTGGGCCAGGAGCCCACAGAAGCTGTAGAGCTGGCTGTGGTTGGGCCCAGCTGACAAGGATGGCCTTGTACTGCCTCTGGGATCTTTGCTCCTACTTCTCGTCCTGAGCGTGCTCTGTGCTGGGTACAAAGTCACGAGCACTAATTGTCCTGGGCTGCGGCCAGCTTCCTGCTGAGCTGGCTGTGTGCAGACAAGGAGCCTGGGGGGCAGAGGTTGCTGGCCCTGGGAGTGAAGGCTTATCTGCCTTCTGGACTGGGCCCAACAACAAGACAACTGTTCACCCGTGGCTGGGTGGGCATCCATGGAGATCTGTCCCTCAACCTCTGAGCAGAAGGGCCTAAGAGCTGTCACCTCCCCAGAGGCCGTGGGCAGAGTGGAGTGCAAACTCTGGCTCTCAGACCCCCTTCACCTTGTTGCCCTTGCCCTGACCCAGGTCCCCTGCCTTGCCCACAGCCCCTACCTGTCTTCTGCCTCTGGCTCCCCATTCATGTCATGTGTCCTCTGCTGGGTGCCTCTTCTTGAGACCCAGCTCCAACTCAGGGGTCCCTGCTCTGAGTCTTCCTGCTGCCCCCAAGGCTGAGTCGGGACCTTAGGCAGGTGTAGGGTCTGCCATCAGCCCCCTGTTGAGCCTGCTCTGCAGCCTCCATTGCCCACCCTCCTCCCCTGGAGTCTTCATGTGTCTCAAAACAGACTGCTTGCTGCTCTTGTCAGCAGGCCCCTGTGCTCCCATCTGCCCCTGCCCTTCCTCCTGCCTTCCCATGCCAGCCTCTCCTGCCCCTCACAGCTGGCCACCTGGGGCTCTGGTCACAGTCATCTCTATGGCAGCATCTAGGGACCTGGGCAGGGGTTGGTGAGAGGACGAGTGGGCAGGCATCAGACTGAGGCCAGTGAATGGGTGAGGGTGACAGAAGTCACAGACGCTGTAATAGCCCAGTGCCCCTTGGGGGAGAGTGAGACTCTCATCGCTGGGCGGTCAAGCAGACCGTCAGGACACTCTCAGGGGAGCGCCTGCCCTAGGCAGGTGTTGGATTTACTAGGGCTTGTGTTAAAGGTGGAATTCCCAACCTGACCACGGGCCTCCTGAGTCAACTCTCCGGAGGCCCCAGGAGCTGGGGTCTCTGACACACCGTCCTGGCAACACTTGCAGAGGAGCCCAAGTCTCCTTCCAGGCTTGAGGTTTGGGGCGCCCCAGCCATTCCCTCAACTCTTAGTTCTCAGAGGGGCTCATCCTGCCCCTCTTGGGGCCTGCTGTGCCCACTACTAGCTTTTCATACCTGCCCCTCCCTCAGAGCTAGAGCCTCTTGTTAGGAGAGGAGGGGAGCCAGGACTGGGGCCCTTCAGTGTCCAGCCCACAGATATCCGTAGACTTCGCACCAGGGGGAGCGGGCTCTTCACGGCCAGAATCCAGAGAAGGGCAGGGGTGCCTGGGCTTGGACTGTAGGCACTGCTCATGACTCCTGGGAGACCCCCTCTCCTATGTCTGGGTCCAGCTCCCCTTCCCATTGTCTCTTGGGGCCTCTGGCTTGCCAGACAGTGCAGACCCAGTGAGGGGTGGAACGAGACCATTTATCGAACTGCTCCTGGGTGTCAGGCAGTGGGCTGGCTCCATAGAAGTAGTAGTTCGCTGGGAGCCCTGCCCTCAGTGAGCAGCGATCAGCAGCAACAATGAGACAGCCATGAGAAGCAGGCCCAGGGAGAGGCCCACCAGTCACCATCCAGGGAAGGCCACAGTTCTGCCAGAGTGAGAGACCCAGCGCCCGCACGGCAGGCCCCCATCTGCCCTGCTGCCAGCCCTGTCATCATCAGACCTTTCTAAAATGTGTCCATACCTGCCTCCTGCAATAGCTGCCACCCCCTGTAGCAGCATTTTCCCAAACTGGCCTGGCTACTCAGGTCTTGTCCTGCCTGGGCTTGCTCTGCGGACACCTTCAGCCATGCCCCACCCTCCTCTCCAGCCTCACATCCCGGCACTTCTCACCTGGGCCCTGACCCTGCAGTCCCCACATACACCACCTCCTTTCTCCAGGCCTCGCCACCTCATCCTTCCCCACCCAAGCTCCCCCAATGCCCCCTGAAGCCCCGGGCAGAGGTTGCGGGGCCTCCCTCAGTGTGGTGAGTGCTGTGGTCATGTAATTCTGTCTCCTGTCCCCTACACAGAATCTCAGGGTGCGGAGCAGTGGGGGAACCGAGTTCTTCACACGGTCGGCCACCAAGTTCAAGGGCGCCCTGGCCCAGAAGTTCATGTTCGTGGACGGAGACCGAGCCATCTGTGGCTCCTACAGGTGACTCCTGGCTTTCTGGGAGCTGGGGGAAGAGGCAGCTCTGGATCCCAGCTGGGTTCTGCCCTTAATCCTGCCTTATGACACCCTGGTTATTCCAGTTCATTGGTCCCCAAACTGCTGAGGTGTGAGCTGGGCTGGGGCACGCCCACACACCAGCCACCTGTCTCCAGAAACAAGCAGAGGAGGGCTTTTGTCTGTGAGAGTTGTTCCAGCCTAGAGGTGTCACCAGCCTGGAGGTAGGGTGTGGGCCAGGCCAGGCTGTGTCTTCCCAGGCCCACAAGGTGGTCACTCTGAAAGCCACCCTCAGGGACAGGGCCAAGATGAGGCAACCATGGCCCAGCTCTGCGAGCCCACCATGCAGGGGGCAGCAAGGTGGGTGCCACTTACTGCCACAGATTATTGGTGGTGACAAAGATACCAGGTGTCCAGGGCTACTCTGGGCATTCAGAGAGTGGCCTTAGGGGTGCTGGACCCCCAGAGGAGCGCAGCCCTGTGCTGTTTTATGTGGGCAGGAGAGGGCATAGTGTCAGTGACTCACCTGAGGACCCAGACTCAGGTCTGGCCCCGAGGCTTGTGCCCTATCCTCTGTCCCCCTCACTTATCAGTCCCATCCAGAGCCCCTTAGCCACAGTGAGCAGCAGCCTGTGGGGGGTGTGGTGGCTGTCTCGGATGCCCACTGTCGGGGGACTGGGGGCCTAAGGGAGGAAACAGGCCCACGTGCCTGACCAGGCAGCCCCTTCCCTGTGTTGCAGCTTCACGTGGTCAGCTGCGAGGACAGACCGGAACGTGATCTCTGTGCTGTCAGGCCAGGTGGTGGAGACGTTCGACCGGCAGTTCCAGGAGCTGTACCTCCTGTCGCATGGCGTCAGCCTCAAGGGGATCCCCATGGAGAAGGAGCCCGAGCCCGAGCCCATTGTTCTGCCCTCTGTGGTCCCTCTGGCACCCTCCGGCACTGTGGCCAAGAAGCTTGTCAACCCCAAGTATGCGCTAGTCAAGGCTAAGAGCGCTGAAGAGATCGCTAAGGTCTCCTCTGAGAAGCAGGAGGTGAAGAGGTCCCCGGGGCTGCGGGGCCCGGGGCTGGCCGAGCAGCCAGGAGACATTCCTGAGCCACCCCTGCCTATCCACCCGGGGCTGCTCAACCTGGAGCGGGCCAACATGTTTGAATACCTGCCCACGTGGGTGGAGCCGGACCCAGAGCCAGGCAGTGACATCCTGGGCTACATCAATATCATTGACCCCAACATCTGGAACCCCCAGCCCAGCCAGATAAACCGCATCAAGATCCGAGACACATCCCAGACCGGGGCCCAACTGTGGAGGCAGAGCCAGGACTGCAGCCCTAGTCCAGAGCCCAGCACCTCCCAGGACAGGGTCCCAGCCAAGAACGGCCTCCCCCCAGAGGACCCCAAGCCACAGCCTCCCGTGCCCAAGCCCCGGACAGTTCCTGTGGCAGACGTGCTTGCCCAGGATGTCAGTGGTGTTGGATGGGCCCTAGAGAGCCCAGAAGAGGAGGTGCCCCAGAGCAGGACAGACCATGGGCTGCCCAGGACACCAGGCCGTGCTCTGCTCCAGCGGCAGCGGTCTGTGCCCCAGGATGACCCTGACAGCGAGGGGGTGATGACCCCCAACGGGCTAGGCCAGGAGGAAGAGGAAGACGACGATGACTACGTGACCCTCAGTGACCAGGACAGCCTCTCGGGCAGCTCTGGCCTTGGGCGTGGCCCCCGGCGGCCCTCAGTGGCCTCTTCTGTGTCAGATGAGTATTTTGAGGTGAGGGGACACTCACCCCTTCTCCGGAGGCGCCACTCAGAGAAGGTAGCGAATGGGCCAGCCCAGCCCCCCCGCCGACAGCTGAGTGCCCCCCACATGACCCGCGGGACCTTTGGTGAGCCCCTGTGTGGTTCACCATGGGCCCCGGGTCAGGAGAGAGAAGAAGGGGGCACTCTGAGGACGATGCGGGCCTCACGCTCCATGGACAAGGAGGCACAGGTGGGTTGGGGTCCCTTAGCACCAGGGGTCTGGGAGCCCCTTTCCCTGGGCCTGAGCACCCAGAGTGCTGCGCTCCCTGGTGAACGGGGGTGGGGGTGGGTAGGAACCACCCGGGACCACACGAGGGGCGGTGCCGGAGACCTTAGGCGCGCCCCTGAAGGCAGCCTCTGTCAGTGCTGGGAGCTGAGGGGAAATGCGTTTAACATACGCAGAGGTCGCAGGCGCTCGGTGCTCTAGGAAGTGAGTGCCTAGTTTCGGACAAGGAAACGGCGGTGGCAAAGATAGTAGTTTACAGCCCGAGATGCACAGCGGTAAGTGGTCCTTGTTGGCCTTCAAGCCACCTCTGTGTCAGTCCCTTTGTGGTCCTGGGGACCACTCACCTCCCTGCTCCCAGGCCAGGAAACAGCTCATATCTATGCCGTGCCTCTTCCTGGAAACCGCCGCGGCCCGGCCCAGCCCCAGGCGCCTGCCCTACCTGGGAACAGTGCGCGGCTGATCATGCCTGGCATCACGATCAGGCCCATGGGCAGCATCTTGAGGTAGCTGGCCAGGATGGAGCCTGCTTTGGCGTGGTTCAGGTCCCGGGCAGACAGCGACCGCTGCACGATGACCTGGGGGCACATGGAGCAGTGAGTCCCAGGTCCCCTCAGAGTACCTGTGGCAGGACCTCTTCCTGGTGAGCCTCAGGAAGAGGCATGAGATGCTGTCCCACTAGTGCCAGACCTGCCCGAGACAACCAAAGCCCAAACCTGTTACCTGACGGGTTCCCCAGAAGCAGAGCTCACCCCAATTGGCAGAGCAGCTGGGGCCAAGGTACTTTCATTCCAGGGACTCAGTCTCCCCACCTGTTGAGTAGGGAAGGTGTGGATCCTGCCCAGCCTGCCACCCAGCAGTTGGCAGGGCTGGAGAGACCCTGGGTGGAATGGTATCAGGACTCTCCCATCTCCTGTACCCTCATGAGAGTGGCTGGCATGTTCCTGCACGTGCCAGGAGGAGGCACTGGTACCAACCGTTTTGTGTCCCTGGCAGAGGTCAGGAGCTTTCAGACCTGGGATGTGGGGAAGCTTACAGTTCTAGAGCTGCCTGAGGGCATCCTAGCTGAGCCTCAGTGTCCAGGTCTGCAGAATGGGAGGAGGGGGGCAGGGTAAGGGGAACTGATGGCATCTGAGATCCCTGCCAACTCTCACATTACGATTCTACATTTAAAAAAAACTTTTTTTAAATTTCGTTTTTGTTAGCCTCACCCGAGGATATATTTCCCATTGCTTTTCAGAGAGAGAGGGAGGGGGAGAGAGAAAGACATCGATGTGTGAGAGACGCATCGATGGGTTACCTCCACATGCACCCAGACTGGGGCAGGGGATTGAGGGCACAACCGAGGTGCATGACCTTGACCAGGAATCAAACCCAAGACCCTTCAGTCCATGGGCCAGTGCTCTAGCCACTGAGCCAAACCGGCCAGGGCATAAAGCCTTTTTTTTTTTTTAAAACAGCTCTATCGAGACGTAAAGTCACCCGTGGTTCAGCCACAGAAAGTGTGCATTGCAGTGCTTTCCAGTGTGTTCACATGCTGTGCAACCTGTAACTTTTAAATATTAGCATTTTCCTTTGCTAGTCTGCATCGTAATCACTACCAGCAATTCAGGAGTGGGTATTAGCTGTGATTTTAACTGTGGTCCACATATGCTGGTCTAACAGACAGCTCCCAGCACTTCCCTCTGATGCATCACTCCCGGTGACACAGGAGTGGCAGCACTGGTATGTGGGCCAACCTGATGCCAGTCCTGCTTCTCTGCCAGCTTCCTTCGACTTGGGGACAATTCCTTGCCTCACTTGGGGCCTCAGTTTCCCTGTCTGGACACTGAGGAAGCTAGATACAGTTCTCTGTAGACCCTTCCCTACTGATGTTCTGTGATTACAAGAGCCCAGAGCCACTCTTTATGGAAGGAGAGGAACAAACCCGAAAGCCCTGCTATTATCTCATTCTGTTATCTCGGCGACTGGCCCTGAAGGCAGGCAGGCAGGACCGGTTTTGCTGCCCCATTCTGCAGGTGGAGAAGCTGAGGCTCAGTGCCCCATCAGGCCTCCTGCTTTATTGGTTTTGTTAGTTTCTAGTTACAAGAGTGTAGCCTGTGATGTGGATGAGCTAGGAGATAGTGAAAAAAAGTCTAGAGAAGAAAATGAGAAGTATCCTTGGTCCCAGCACACAGAGCTGCCCTCAGACAGGGCATCTTAAAGGGGCATCCTGGCCTGGGACTGAGTAGCCCTCCAGGTGTCCTGCAGCGTCCCCCCTCCTGCCCTCCGGCCTCAGTGTTCCAGCTGTGAGTGGAGATCACTGAACCTACCCCACAGGAGGGCTGTCCCCATTGACCCCACAGCGACTGGCATGGCTAGGCTGGCCCTTGGGCCTGACTGCCTCACTCCCATGATGGGGCCCTCAGGGCTCAGGTCCAGAGGCACGGTCATCAGGTCTGTGCCTGCTAAGGCTCTGCTGCTTCATGAGGCCTTTGCCCACCAGAGTGCTGCCTGGAGCTGCCGTGGCCTTCCAGGACAAGCACAGCAGAGGGCATTATCTGCTTCTACGCAGAGAGGAGAGTAGGCTGTCTGAGGTCACCTGGTGCAGTCACAACTCAAGAGAGGACTGGAGTCAGACTCCCAGAGAAGACCCGCCCCCTGCGCCCACCAGAAGCTTGGCCCAAATCGAGCTCTGCCTCCAACAGCCTGGTCCGGCCTCACAGATGGAGGAGGCTGGACCAGGGGTACCAAGGACCAGTGGGCACTTGCCTTATCACAACCACAAGAGGCGGAATTATTCCCGTATAACACATGGGGAAACTGAGGCACAACGTATAACAAAACAAACCTGTCCAGGCTCACCTGCTGGTGAGTGGCAGGACCAGGAGGCAAACCCAGCTGCGCAGGCTGCAGCCTGCCTGGCAAGAACCCGCAGGAAGGAGATGCTTCTTGGGGTGGGATGCTCCAGAGTGATGGGATGTCACTCTGTTTTTTTTCTCTCTCCCAGGACAACCATTATGGAGTCCCGGCCTTGGGGACCAGGGATAAAGATGGCTTCCCGCGGCCACTGAGGACCGCAGGACCCCCGCGGTACTGCCCTGCTGCTGAGGGTGCCCAGAGCTCTGCCAGGAAGGTGGGTTCCTATTACTGGCAGGCCAAAGGTAGCCTCGTGCCCCACACACTGCCAGATCCCGGGAGCCCGAGGCCGGCCCGAAACGCCAGCCTCCTGACCGACGGCCGGGCCACCGAAGCACATCCAAGTCCTTTGGGAATCCCGTACTCCAAACTGTCCCAGTCGAAGCACTTGAAGGCCAGGACGGGCGGCAGCCAGTGGGCCTTATCCGATTCTAAACGGAGGGTCCAGACCCCTCAGGACCACAAGGACCTCTAGCAAGGTGGTCCACAGCCTGCACCCAGGCCCAGACCCACCATGCAGGTGTTCCCAGGGCCGCACCTCAGATTGGCAGATGGCCACCGGACCCTCCAGAGCCCACCCCGGAAAGCAAGAAGGTAGCAGGTGATGATGCGGACTCTCACCTGGTCAGTGCACCAGTACCAGGTGGCCATGATGGTCAGGCCGAAGGTCATCCCGGTCCACGGGAGGTCCCCTGTGTAGGGGTCTCTGAACATGTGCATGGCATCTGCGCGTGGCAGGTGGCAGGTGGTGTTGGCAACAGTCTTAGATGGTATAGCCCGGGCGTAGGCTGCTGCCAGCTGCTCATACCCCCCAATCTGGTCGAAAGCTGGGGGGGTCAGGGCAGTACAGGGACCAGTCAGTGGCTGTGGCCCTGACTCCCAGACCCCCACTGCCCTCCTCCTGCAGGAACTTCCTGCTGTGTCAAACGGGACCTTCCCCACGTCACCTTTCCCAGTGCCTGGAAGAGTGTGGGAGGGTAGAGGGTTTTTTTAAAAGGTGAATTCAAATAACTGTTTTATATGTATTTAAAATAATACTATTAAATGAGCATTTTGCATGTGGGCAGCCCAGTGTCCTGTTGGCCTCTGGATGCCGGTTGGCCTTAGACAAGGGGTTTCTGTGCCAGGCTTCAAACTGTCATTTAAGGAAGCAAAACTACTTTTCCTTGGCATTTAAAGTGTTAAAGTCCTGACCCAGGGCTTCTGAAGGACATGACTTTTGGCAGAGCTGAGAATGTCTGGCAGTGATGCAGCACTGAGAGAGGAAACAGGTCCCAGGGGATAGAGATGGACAGGGGCATGACCAAGGCCACAGGGACAGCCAGCTGGGCCTCAAGCCAGGGGTCTTTTCTCTCAAGCCCAGACCACATTCACCCCCTCACTGTTTCTGTCTACCTCGACGTCAGCCCTTCGCAGCCAAGCCCTGGCTCATCTATGGCTTTTGTTGTGTCTACAATCACTCCCCTCTGTCCAGACGGCCTGGCTGCCTAGGTCTCTCTTCTGCAGTGGGTTCTAGGGACACAGGCCTCTGGTCTGAGAGGAAGCAGATACACAGAGGCCTGGACACAGGGAAACCCCAGTCTCAGCCCAGGCCCTGCTCCCCCACCTTTCATTCCCCAAGCAGGAAGCCTGCTGCCCAGACTCTGGACCCCCAGCATCCTGCCTGGAGCCCAGGCCAGGCTGGGGTGAGTGCTCAGAACAAAGGTACAGACACTACACAAGGGGCAGAAATTGCCGTAGGATCTGGAGTCTGAGTCTAGAAGGGACTTTAAAGGCCTCTGTTCACCCTCTGTGGGGTCCTTGGCTCTGTTTGTGTACTTCCCTGGAGGCCCATGGGACAGCTCTCTGAGCTTCCTTCCTGTTCCAGTGTCATAGATCTGTCTAAAGCATGGCTCTCCTCCCCTGCTTTGTCCAGCAGGCTGTAGCAGCACTTCTTGGGATCTAAACAAGTCAAGCAGACACCCAGACAGTTGTGTGGTCTCCTAATTGTGTGAATGCACGTCCACCCTGGATCCAACCTCACCCTCAAGCACTGAGCCAGGGCAGGTGCAGCTGGCCCTGTGTTGCTGAGTCAGCTCTGCACCAGACCTGAGCCATCCAGGAGCTGGTGACAGAAATGCAGCTGGGCGGTATGGACTGGAGAGGAGCAGATGGCCTCCATCCTTCAGAGAAGGCCAACAGGGGCTGATTGCCTCCTGGCTTGACCTCATGAGCCAACCCCTTGCCCCAGCTCTGACACCCAGACCTCAAAGGGCTTGCTGCTGGGGTCAGTCCCACCACAGCCCATGGCCCTCACCTTTGACAGTCAGAATGACAGCCCCCACCACCATGATGAGCGTTTGCAGGGCATCTGTGTAGATCACAGCGGCCAGCCCCCCTGTGGGAGAAAACAAGAGAGTTGGAGGAGCCCTAGTCTCGAGGGAGGAGGGACAGGGAAGCAACTCCAGAGCTCCGGGAGGGACTGCTGTCCCACATCCATGTCCCCTGCCCTTTCACAGGTGGGTGAGGTGTGGGACCAAGAAGCTGGGCCAGCAGAGCTGGACTACAAATCTGACTCAAAACCGGCCATGTCCTGGGCTGTGGGAGGAGGTGGCCCTCTGCCTCCCGCTTACGGCCCTTGGCTCCTGCTGGCCTCTCAGATGCTGGCACATGTCCGCGTGGCCCAGTGGTCAGGACCCCCACCCGGCCGGGCCTGGGCGCATACCTGCGATGGTGTACAGCGCTGTGATGGCGAGCATGAGGATGGTGGACAAGTAGAAGTTCCAGCCCAGGCAGATGTGCACAAAGAGAGCCCCCGCATACAGGTCGATCTGGGATGGGAAAGGCATCTTGTGTTGAGGCCCGAGGTGACCACAGGATCTGGAGCGTGAGTGAGCCCCCACTTTGCTGCTCATTGACCAAGTGGCCTCAATGCACAGTGGATGAGGAGGGCGAGGCCCCCCAAACTGCCAGGGGCTGGCTGAGGAGTCCTGGCTGTGGACAGCTGTGTGCAGGGACGTTCATGCTGTCTGCAGAGTCCTGAGGGACTGGTATCCACCAGGGAAGAGTACTGCTGTCGAATCTGACCCCTGGCCCCTTGTTTCCTGGGGGGGGTGCTTGAGGAGGAGGAGTCCAGGAGGGCTTTCTGGGAGAGGCCCACAAAGACTAGTAGGCCTCAGCAAACAGGAGCACATGCCTCAGTCTCCAGGCCCAAGTCTGTCTGGGTACACCTCCTGTTCTCTGTTCCCTGTTAGATGGGGCTCTCCAAGAAGAGACCAGACCTGTGCGAGGGGTGGGCTGGGAAAATGGGCAGTCTTGCTTAATGCCTGGTGGGACTGGAACTGAAGTCCAGGACTATGTGTTAGGCTGAGGCTAGTCCTAGGGGCTAGACTAGACACAGTCCCTGCCATCCCAGGACACATTTGGAGCAAGAATCGAGCTCCAGGGTGAGCGCTGGATCTGGCCTTCCAGAGCATGCTCCTCCCCACTGTGCATGGGCACCCAGAGGGGGGTGGGGGGGCAGGACCCTGTCCTGTGGGCCTGGAGGCTGGGCACAGGGCTCCATACCCCAAGTTTCCAGACCTGCCAGTCTGTGCTGGCTAAGTTGAGGGGAGACAACCTGAAATAACCTTTGAAAGAGCTTCCTGAGGAGGCTGGGCCAGGCTGTGGGGCCAATCTGCAAGGTCAGGGGCACCAGCTCTTTTGAGCTAGCCCAGCGCTTGGCCCAGCTTGGAGCTGCCAGCACTGCTGGGAGTGAGGCTTGCAGACCCCCTGCTTCCCCAACCACAGGGATGCAGAGCCCAGGTGGAAACAAGCTCACCCAAAGCCCATGTCCCTGCACCTCTCCCTCCAGGCTCCTCCACCTTCCTTTGGAGAGGAGACCTGCCAGTGTGGAGACTGACGAGGTGGTGGCAGGCCCCGGCCTAGGCAGTCCCTGCGCGCGCGTGCACGTGTGTGTTTTGAGGGGCGTCTGCCTTCAGCTCCCATGAAGCCAGAGGAGAAACAGGCACAGGGAGGGACATGGACTTCGCCGAGGTCAGGCCCAGGAAAATAGAGATTGGAGATGCCAGGGAGAGGGCCAAGGGCGGTAGATATGGGAGGGCTCTAAAAAGCAGCCCTTCCTTCCACCTGGTCATCCTCCGGCCACCACTGAAGACCCCTCCCTGGACCCCAGCTGCCCTCAGAGCAAAGCCCTGGTCTGTGTGCCTGACCTTCAGACTGGCCACATACCCCTTTAAGCACAGTCGATTGGTCACACCACACTGGCCTCCGTGCAACGCCCAGCACTTTGCTGCCTCCAGGCCTTGGCGCACCCGTCTCTGCCTCTCACCCGTTGGAAGTCAGTCTCCCCAGGTGCCCTGTTCCTTATGCCCCAAGAGTGACGAGGAGTTTGACAGGCAGCAGGAGCAGCACCCGCAAAGGTGTGGAGGCGAGACATCAACTGGTGTCTTCCCTCCGGGATCCTGCCTAGCGTCCGGCAAAGGCTTGCTGCTGCCACTGGAGACACAGGGCCAGTGTGCAAGCTCCAAAGGAGTCCCCAGATGAAGAATTTCAGGTGACAGCCGGTCTATCACTGGGCCTGAGCTGACCTCTCTGCAGACAACTCTCCCCTGCAGACCAGGCAAGCTACAACCTGGTAGAAGCTAAGAGCCCTAAACCCAGAGCTGCAGGAGCCTGGGTCTGTGTCAACTGTGTCCCCGCTAAAGGTTGCTTCGCCTCCTGAGCCTCAGTGGCTCTTATCTGTAAAATGGGGGAGCAGGTGTGGAAGGAACGCAGGCACTTGTGCAAGTGACAAGAGCACTCAGCCCCCTTCATCCCTTCTGGCCTCTGGAGAACCCCTGCTGGCAACTTTCCTCTGTGCTCCCCTCCCCGGTGGCCGAGGAGCGGCTGCAGGGTCTACTCTAATTCTGTGTGGACACAGAGAGGTGAAGCCAGAGGGACTTCACCTGGTGGCAAAACCTTGGGGAGAAAATCAAAAGGACAGCAGCAGGGAACTTGAGTCTCAAAGGAAGGCCCACTCTCAAGGGCACAACTAGCCAGGGCTTTGCTGGGCAGGAGCCACTGATCCACCCTCACTCAGAAACCTGCTGTGGCTCCCCACTGCTTACAGGATGATGTTTACTCCTGTGATCTGACCCCAAACTCCTTCCTCACCAGCTGTCTTTACTGCCTCTTGTTACCTCTTCCCCAAGCGTGAGGCCCAGGCTCTGCCCACACCGTGCCTTCTACCCACAGGGGCTTCCCCTCTCATCTTGTACGAGAAACCCTGCCATCTTGGGAAGAGCCCTTATCCCAGGAAGTCCCCGCCAGGTGCCTAGGAAGCCTGCACGTGTGCCACATGCAGCCTGAGTGATTTGTTTGAGTATTTCCCCTAATGCTTGGCCGTCCTACCAGGTGGGTGTCATGATCTAGTCTCCGTCGGAGAGGAGGCCCCACTGGAGCGAAGCAACTCCCAAAGTCCTGCAGGCGTGAGGAGGGCCCCAAGGCCGCAGCCTTCCCGCTAGGCTGGCCCTGGGACTGTGAGCTCCCAGGCCCCTGGAGAGAGCGGACCCCATTTTGGCACCATCTCATGGAGCTTGAAAAAAACCGCGAGCCTAGGACTGAGAAGGGGGGGAGCTGCCTGCTGAGTTGACCTGCAGGCGGGGCTGACTTGCTGAGCCCCAAGCTCCCCATGACCATGTGCTTCCTTGCCTGAACCTGCACCCCACACTGGCCACCTCCCTACACATGTGGTAGCAGAGAAGCTGGGGTGGTCCACAAGTTTACCATGTGATTCCCCCCAAATTATCCTCAGTGTCCCCTGCTCCCAAAACTTGCCCATCTCCACAAAGGCCATAACCACCCCTTCAAGATTACAGAAACTTCTCTCCTTTGCCACACTCCCTGCACCAGACCCACCAGCCACAGCTGAAAATAGTCCTCCCCAGGTCCACTGTCCCCTAACCAGCCCCTCCTGCGCTTGGCTCGGTAGAAGAAAATCGGAGGTCTGCCTGTCCACTGCAGGCAGACTAAGAGCCACCTGCCGGCCCTCCCCCAGCTCCTGCTCCACACGCGGCACCCCCAGCTTCCTTTAGCTGCCGCAAGCCCCACGTTTTCATCCCAGGCCTCTCTCCAAAGCGAACGTGGTCATTCCTGTCCTCTCCCAGGTTTCAGCCCAGCATCTGCTTCCTGTACCACACTTTTACTGCTTGTTGTGATAGTATTGGTCTGTTCACTTATCTCATCTGGAACATAAGCTCCCCGGGAGCAACAAACATGTCCATTTCCCAGCTCAGCCGGGGCCTGGACGCCGCAGGTGCTCAGGAAACAGGCACCCCTCCGTGCCCTGTCAGGGGCTGGCACGCTAGGGCCCACAGACCAGTCAGTCACGCCCACTGGCATTGTCTTTCCCACTCCAGGGGCAAAGTTGAGAGCAGCTGACCCTTGAACAACATGGGGGTTAGGGGCCCAGACACCCGCGCAGTTGAAAATCCAAGTATAACTTTTGACTCCCCAGAGACTTAACTACAGTCCCTCTGTATGTGTGGGGGATTGATTCCAGGATCCCCACAGATACCAAAATCTGCCGGTACTCAAGTCCCTTTCATAAAGTGGAGTAAGAACAACACATACAGTTGGCCTTTCGCATCTGTGGACTCCCAATCATGGATGAAAAACCTAGGGATATGGAGGGCCAACTGTGTATTTATTTACTGAAAAAAATCTATGTATAAGTGGACGTGTGCAGTTCAAACCTGTAACAGAAGGGTCAACTGTAGTTTGCATGTAGCCTGCAAAGCCACAGATATTTACTACTGGCCCTTTAAAAAAAAATTACCTGATTCCTGGCGTATATTATCTCATTCATTCTCATAAAGTGGTGGAGATACATCGATGAATGAAGAGGAAAAATGGGTGAGACAGACAATAGACATTCTAAGTAAACAATTCAGCACACTGGAAGATATTAAAAAGAGGGAGCAGGTAAGGGAATCGGATCTGCTGGGGCACAAGGAGGCCTCATTGCAAAGGTGAGATTTGAAAGACTTGAGAGAGGTGAAGGAGTGAGCCATGTGGCTATCCAGGGAAAGAAGGTTCCAGGCAGCGACCATAGCAAGTGCAAAGGCCCTGGGGCAGGATCATGCGCGGTATGTTGAAGGGATTGCAAGGCAGCCATGCTGGAACGCTGTGTGCGACAGGAAGAGGGAGAGGTAAGGCCAGTGACGTAGCAGGGGCTGTGCCTTGAAGGACCTTGTAGACCGCAGTTGGCCTTCATTTCAAATGGCCTGAGGTGCCGTGCCAGGTTTCCTTACTCTCCTGAGATTAGATTAGCCCAGAGACACACAGTGATGGAGCTGGACCTTGGTTCCCCCAACCCCATCTAAGGGTCAGTGTGGCATCTCTGCATCCTGACATCACACGTTCTCTCTGAGACCAGGGTCCCCACCTGAGGGATGGCAGCAGGCAGGCCCTGTGGTCTCTGTCCAGATGGGCTGCATCAGGGATGGGTCCTAGAAGTGCAGACACATGCGACATTCCCAGGGCTGAGCCCAGGGAGGTCAGGGTCTCTGGAGGCCAACTGGGCACGGGCACTTCAAATAGCTTCCACTAGGGCCATCAGCCAGGGTGACCCCAGTCCCTCCCAAATCAAGCCTGGCATCTAGTGCTCCCTCTCTGCTTCACCTGGGCAGCCCCACCATTGGTGCTGAAGCCTCAACTTTGTCACCAATGGGTTGCTTCCCATTTTATAGGTGAGTAAACAGAGTCACCCTCACCACAAAGTGGAGTTTGAAGTATCACATCCTGGCTGCATTAGCTCAGGGCAGTGGTCAGGCCCTTGACCAGGGAGGCAGAGGCCTAGGTTCTTGCTGTGACCTCTGCCTGACTCAGCATGACCTTCAGCAAGTGACAGCCACTCTCTAGGTCTCAACTGTCTCATTTATAAATTGGGGTTGCAGGACAAGATAGTCTCTAAGGACCCTCCCACTTAACCCTCTATCATTCTGGAAGTCCCACCAAGCCCCCCATTTTAGGTTGCTCTGAGCAGGGTATCAACTGGCTGAAGATGGAGATGAAAGGGCCCCTTAGGCCCATGACTCAGCCCCTCCAGACCCCAGTGGGGTCTCCCCTCCAGCCTGTCCTCTGGGAGGTGCCAGAGGCACTAACTCAAACCTGACTGTCACTTCCCTGCCTAAACCCCCAGTGCCGCTTGGGTACTTGGACCCCTTACAATCAGAACTCCTAGCCTCACCCTTCACTATAGTGCTCAAGGCCAGGGCGGGACACTGGCAGCCCAAGAGCCAGATGGGTACACAGGTCTGTTTTGTGTGAATGCTGGAGGATGGTCTCTGGTGCACCTCAGTCCCCACCACTCCCTATCACCTCACTCCACTCCTCCTCAAAGCTTTCCGCCTGGCCCCAGAAGTGCCTGACTTAGAGACCCTTAGAATCTAAGCTCCTGACCTGACCACCCCCAGACACATCCTGCACACCCCACCTCTCTCCTATCCCTTGTTCCCCAATCTCATCACTGTCTCTTTCTCCATTAACATCCAAATCAGATGCCACCCCAGCAGGCTCTGCCACCGTTTCTGAGGCCCACACTTGTTTTCCCTGCGTATACATCTGCCTCCCACTGCAGTGCCAGACCCTGGAGAGCAGGAGCCAAACCTTACTTGTTTCTCTATCTCTGCATTCAAGGGAGATGGCTGATACAGGGGGCTAGGAAATGTGGGAGAGGGAGGAAGAGCATGAGTGAGAAATTCTAAACTGGACCTTAAGAACAGGGCAGAGCCAGGTCCCTCAGATCTCTAAAGGGAAACCCTGGGGAAGAAGACCTCTAGTGATGCTCTCAGAGCATCTAGTATGGAAGGCAGAGCCACACATGCTTGTTAACTATTCCTGGAAATCTGCTCACAAGAACGAGATGCTCTGGGGCCCCCAGAAGTTGTCTGTGAGTGCACAGTACAGGCAAGGCCCAGACAAGGCGCCAGGGTATGCAGAGGGGCCACCAACCACTGTCCCCATGCCCAAGGTGGGGAGACAGTCAGGTCAGATGCCAGATCAGGCCCCCCTGTCAGGGTCCAGGGGGTCCAGGTGAACCCCAAGCCCACCCTAGGCCTGCCCAGGGCCTCTGAAGAGCAGTCACCCTCATAGGGCCACATTTCCAGGGAGCCCTGCCCACAGCTCCTGGGTGACCACAGAGGCCTCCCTTCCCTCCACAAAGTCGATGGCATGTCTGGGTTTTCTAGTCCCAGAGCTGACCTGAAGAGGGTCCAGGAGGTGACTTCACCACTGAGGAGAAAGCCCAGGCTCATTGAGCACCTCCCCTCCGCATATACCAGCCCTCACCACCCTCCACAGAAGCCACGAGAGGCAGGCACACCAGTGCTCCGCCACCCTTGGTCACCAGGCACAGGGCCTCGTCCAGGTGCACTCAGCCAAAAGCAAGTTGACCCAGAGCTCAAGCCAGGGCCTCTGCCTCCTGAGCCCCATCAGAAGGTGGAGCAGGAGGCTTGATGGCCCAGGGGAGTTAGAAGCAGGCCTGGCAATGCGAGGAAGTCCCTGGTAGGCTTGAAACAAGTTGCATGCCCTCCCTGGGCCTTGGTTTCCCTATCTGTAAAATCAGGGGCTTGGACAAGACAAGCCATTAGCCAGTGCTGACTGATATTCTGGTGTCCAGGCCCCCAGATGGCACCCCAATGCCAGGAAGGGGCTGCTGGGGGGTCAGTTTGTGATAGAGCTGACCAGCCACAGGTGAGAGGCAGGTCGGCTCCATGGAGCCTCTGAACCTCAGCCCAGACCACATGGGCTCTTAGCACCACCTAGTGGGCAGTCCTGGCTCACCTCGGTGCACGTCCAGGGAAGACCAGAGGCTGACCAGACACCCATCTGACACTGAGTACCCTCCTGGCGCCCCCACATCTAGAACTGGGGGTGAATCAGGATCACAGAACTTACACTCTTCCCCCAACTGTGCTGGGTGCTGAGCCTACACTCTGGGGGTCCTGGACCAGCTGTCACAAACTCACTGTGTGACCCTAGGCATCACTGTCCCTCTTTGGACCTGTTTCCCCAGATGTTAAACATGCAGAAATGGATGAGAGGATGTCAGGTCTGTTTTGGGGCCTCCAGAGTGGGATGTTTCCAGGCTACGCTGGCTAGAAGCTGAAGGTAGGGGAAGCTCACCGATATCTTGGTGAAGACGGACAGGAGCAGGGACAGGACAGACAGGTACATGCGTATCCTCTGGCCTCCATAGCGCTTCTGAATGTATTCAGGCATGGTGACGATCTGGGGGAGGCAGGGGGCAGGGTTAAGCACTCCCCTGAGACCATCCCAGCATTCAGGGCTGGAGGCTTCTTCTCAAGGGCAAGGCCCAGGCCCAGGCCCACACTGAGCCCTGAATTCCAGGCTAAGGGTTCGGCCTATATCTTAAGGCAGCGGTGGGGAATGTACAGCCCGCAGGCTGTATACAGCCCACAGAATCATTTGGCCTGGCCCTGCCAAGGCAGCCACAGGCGGGACTTGAAATTCAATAAATCTAGGAGCTTTTATCATAGCTAATTTTTAAGTTGATAATTTCATATGGCCCGAGAATGATGTTATAAATATCTAGATGGCCTTTGGCAGAAAAAGGCTCCCCACCCCTGTAAGGGTTTTAGGCAGGGGACTGGCAGGCTTATGTTGGCTCTTCAAGGCTGATATAAGGAATGGATTGGAGGGGCTGCCGCTGAGGACAGAGGGACAGGCTTGGAAGCTGTTATGACAAACCCAGATGGCTTAAGTTGAGGCTTGATGGAGCTGTGAGCGGCAGAGCAGAGGACAGACTGAGTGAGACCCAGGAAATGGAATCCCTTAGACTTAGTGACTGCTCAGCTGGGGCTAAAGCAGGGGGCAGAGTCAAAGACAGTGCAGCCCAGGTGTGCAGCCCAGGTGTGCCACATTGGTGTGCCACATTGGTGTGCCACATTGGTGTGCCACATTGGTGTGCCGCCCAGGTGTGCTGCCCAGGTGTGCCACATTGGTGTGCCGCCCAGGTGTGCTGCCCCGGTGTGCCACATTGGTGTGCCGCCCAGGTGTGCTGCCCAGGTGTGTAGTTTGTGTGCCCAGGTAGAGCATCATCCCCAAGAGGCAGCATGCAAGGGCAGTGGGAACCAGCAGACAAGGTACCTGGGCTGACATCCCAGGGGACCTGCCTTAGTGGGTTGATAGGAATGTTAATTGGACTAATAATAAACAGAGCTTGGGGAGTTCACCAACTTGTGAGTGAAGCTAGAGCGCCTTGCCCGTCACTACCACCAATTAGGACCAAGGGCCAGACCCAAGGGAGGCTGCCCTGAGGCTCCAGGAGCAGACTTACCTCTGAGGAGATGTAGATAGGCACAAAAACCCACGCCAGAGCCAGCAGCACATATGTGGCCTGAGGGTGACAGAGGCAGGGTGAGGACAGTGGGCACAGCTCCCACAAGCCCTGCTCCAGAGGTAAAACTGGGACCAGTGGTCTGGAGGCCTGACTTGCCATGAGAACCCAGGCCCTTCCCCTTCTTGCACCTTTCTAAACAGATGGCCTGGGCCAAGGTTAGCAGCTCCCTTCCTGCTGGTCTGTCCAACATTTTGGCGTTCTGAAGACCAGACTTCCCCAGGAACACTGCTGCATAGAACACATCTGGACATTGGATGACCTAAGTTGCTGGGAGGTGCACCTCTGGCCATAGAGGGATGGATTCCAATGGAGCCCTATCCACGGCTTTGCAAGGCGGTTGCACCCTCCCACAGCCTGCGTCCACCCTCCAGGAGCTCACATTCCACTCAAAGCCTGCCACAGCCACGCCTCCAGCTGCGCCTGAGCCTGCCAGTCCAATGAAGAGGCCCGAACCCTCGCTGCTGGCAAAGAGGGAGGCACCGATCTGGAAGGGAGAGAGAAAAAGGAATCAGCTGTGGGTCACCCAGACCCTAAAGTCCCCGCCCTTCAAACAATTTCCAGCACCTCACCCCTACACCTCCATCCTGGGCACCCCCTCACAGCCTCAGCCTGCCCCATCACCACCTGCTTGAAATGGCCTGGGCAGTGACCTCAAGGATGCAGATGCTGGTTGACCTGGAGGTCAGATGTAGCCTCACTGGAAGGAGGGTTAAGAGGAGTCAGGGTGCACTCACCGGCCACCACGTCATGTCCCGGCCTGCCAGGAAGTAGCCGCTCACTGTGTTCCTGCTGGCTCGACAGGAGGACTGCAAGAATAGAGCAGAAATTGGAATCCTTGTGCATTGCTGGGGAAAATAATCTGGCCATTCCTCAAAGAGTTAAACATACAAATACTCTATGGCCCAGCAATTCCACTCCTCGGTGCATATTTAAGAGAACAGAAAACTGTTCAAACAAAACTCATACACATGAATGCTCATAGCAGCAGTATTCACAATAGCCAAAAGTTAGGAACCACCCAACGTCCATCAACTGATGAGTGGATAACAAACTGTGGTGTCTCCACACAGTGGAATATTCCCAGTCACATAAAGGAATGAAATACGAATACATGCTACAACAGGGGAACCCTTGAAAACATTCTGTAAAGGGAAAGAAGTCAAACACAGCAGGCTACATGTGGTATGGTTCTGTTCATACCAATGTCCGGAATAGGTAAATTCATAAAGACAAAAAGTAGATTAGTGGTTGCCGGTGGCTGTGGAGAGGGGGCAAGAAGGAGTGACTGCTAATAAGTGTGGAGGTTCCTTTGGGCTGATGAAAGTGTTTTGGAACTAGATAGAGGTGGTGGTTGCACAACACTGTGAATGTACTAAATACTACTAAATTGTACACTTTAACGTGGTTAAAATGGATCACAGTAGCTTCTCTCCTCACAGAAAATTAACTGATGGAGCTGATGCTTAGAGCTTTAAACTAATTTTCCAAGGCGACACAGCTTCTTCTCTGTTCTTGCTCCAATCCTGATTTCTGCATTCCGACGCCTGGCTCATGGTCTCCTGCAGCTTTACTCATCTCCAGTATCGCTGGGATCAAACCCACGACCTTGGGATATTGGGATGATGCTCCAACCAACTGAACTACCTGGCCAGGGCTAGACTATATCTTTTAATCAAAGCAATCAACAGAGTCATACCAATTGTACAAGTGGGGGCACTAACTTCTGGGTGAAGCATTAGAACAACTGCACCTGTAAAACAGCTCACACAATGTGGTTGGGGCTGAGCCTCACAGTCAGCCAGCCTGAGAGGAGTTCCCACCCACAAATGGGACAACAACAGTCAAGACCCAATTACAACAAGAGAACCCAAATACCCCACAAAAGGGACACTCCTAGAGCATCCAGCTCAGGAGGTCAAGGAGACTGCACCACTGGGTCCCACAGGACATTTACTACAATAGACCACCCCATGGAGACAGGGAGTTCTAGCAGTTCTAATACATAGAAACAAACACAAAGAGACAGCTAAAATGGGGAGACAAAGAAATGACTCCCAGATGAAAGAAAAGGAGGGCTCTCCAGAAAAAGAGCTAAATGCAATGCAGGTAAGCAATTTATTGGACAGAGTTCAGATTAATGGTTATAAGAATGATCACGAAACTTAGTGAGAACTACAAGAAAGTTAATAGGAACTTCAAGAAACTTAGTGGGAACAACATCAGCATGAAAAGGAACATAGGAACCATGAATAAGAACCAGTCAGAAATGAAAAATACTATATCTGACATCAAGAACACACTGGAAGGGATTTAAAGTAGGCTGGAAGAAGCAGAGGATCGAATTAGCAATTTGGAAGACAAGGTAGGAAAAAACACTCAGAGCAGCAAAAAAGAAAAGAACACTTAAAAAGTAGGAGGACAGGTGATGAAAATGTTTTCCCTATTCAGTTTGGCTCAGTGGTTAAAGTATTGGCCCACGGCCTGAAGGGTCTTGGTTCAATTCTGGTCAAGGGCATGTACCTTGGTTGCAGGCTCAATCCCTGGCCCTGGATGGGGCGTGGGGGAGGCAACCAATTGCTGTGTCTCTCTGACATCGATGTCTCTCTCTCTCTCTCTCTATCTCTCCCCCTCACTCTCTCTTCCACTCTCTCTGAAAAGCAATGAAAAAAATATTCTCAGGTGAGGATTAAAAAAAAAAAGAGGACAGTTTAAGAGAACTTTGGGACAACAGGAAATGCAACAACATCTGCATTGTAGGAGTACAAGAGGGGAAAGAAAGTAAGCAAGGGAAAGAGAACCTATTTGAAGAAATAGTGACAGAAAAATCCCCTAAGCTGGTGAAGGAAAAAGTCACACAAGTTCAGGAAACAGAGAGTTCCAATCAAGATGAACACAAAGAGACCCACACAAAGACACATTGTAATTAAAATAGCAAAAGTTAAAGACAGCAAAAGACTCTTGAGGGTAGCAAAATAGAAGCAGTCAGTTACCTACATGGGAGCTCCCATAAAGCTGTCAACTGATTTCTCAACAGAAACTCTACAGGCCAGAAGGGGATGGCATGAAGTATTCAAGATAATGCAAAACAAGGATCTGAAACCAAGACTACTATCCAGTAAGGCTATCATTCAAAATTGAAGGTAAAATAAAGAGCCTTCCAGAACAACAACAAAAAAAGGCTAAAGGAGTTTATTATCACCAAACCACCATGGCAGGAAACGTTAAAGGGACTGTTATAAGAAGAAGAAATAGAGAGAGTGGAATACAGGCATAAAGAATAAAAATGGGAATAAATAAGTACCTCTCAATAATAGTCTTGCCCTGCCAGGCATGGCTCAGCGGTTGAGCGTCGACCTAGGATCCAGGTGATCGGGGCTCGATTCCCGGTCAGGGCACATGCCCGGGTTGTGGGTTCGATCAATAACTCTCTCATCATTGATGTTTCTATCTCTCTCTCTCCCTCTGCTTTCCTCTCTCTGAAATCAATAAAAATATTTTTTTTAAAAAAAGTTATTTGAAAAGAACAACATACAGAGAAATATACATGAATATATTTTATTTTATTTTATTTTATTTTTTACTTTTTAAATTTATCTGTATTGTTGAGAGTATTACAGGTATCTTATTTTCCCCCCCAATTGATCCCCTCCACTTCCCTCCCAACCCCTTCCCAGGCTTTCACCCCGTTATTAACTGTGTCTGTGGGTTATGCATATAACTTCTTTGGTTAATCTCTTTCCTCACTCCACCCCTCTTCCCCCTTTCCTCTGAAATATGATCGTTCTGTTGCATGCATCAATGTCTCTGGATATATTTGGTTCATCAGATTCTTTTTTTCATTAGCTTCTTCTTAAAGAAGACCCTTCAACTTTTCCTGTAGTGCTGGTCTGATGGTGATGAACTCCTTCAGCTTTTCCTTGTCTGAGAAGCTCTTTATCTGACCTTCAATTCTAAATGATAGCTTTGCTGGGTAGAGCAATCTTCATTGTAGTTCCATGTTTTTCATCACTTTGAATATTTCTTGCCACTCCCTTCTGGCCTGCAAAGTTTCTGTTGAGAAATCAGCTGACAGTCATATGGGTGCTCCCTTGTAGGGAACTAACTGCTTTTCTCTTGCTGCTTTTAAGGTTCTCTCTTTGTCTTTAACCTTTGGCATTTTAATTATGATGTGTCTTGCTGTGGGCCTCTTTGGGTTCCTCTTCTTTGGGACCCTCTGTGCTTCCTGGACTTGTAAGTTGATTTCTTTCCCCAGGTAGGGGAAGTTTTCTGTAATTATTTTTTCAAATAGGTTTTCAATTCCTTGGTCTCTTTCTTCCTCTTCTGGTATCCCAATAATATGAATGTTGGGCCTCTTGAAGTTGTCCCAGAGGCTCCTTATACTATCTTCATATTTCTGGATTCTTTTTTCTTTTTG